CTAAGGGTTCTCCTGGGCCTACAGGAGAGATGGGGAGGGACTCTTTACAAGGGCATATAGTGATAGGACAAGGGGTAACGGTTTTAAGTTGAAATAATTTAGATTTAGATTAGATATAAGGAGGAAAATTTTTATTGTGAGGGTGGTGAGGCCCTGGCCCAGGTTGCCCAGAGAAGCTGTGGATGCCCCATCCCTGGAGGGGTTCAAGGCCAGGCTGGATGAGGCTTTGAGCAACCTGGGCTAGTGGGAGGTGTCCCCACCCATGGCAGAGGGGTTGGAACTAGATGATCTTCAAGGTCCCTTCCAACTGAAACCATTCTATGAAATTGCTCATGGCTTTATTGCAGCAAACATTGCCCAACTTTATTTCTTCAGAATAAAACCTTAAAGGAACCATTGGTGAAAATATTTGAATCACGCTTTCCTAGAAGTGAGCTGCACATTTGAAGAAGTCACTTCCTGCTCTTTTTTTTTTTTTTTTTTCTTTCCTTTGTACAGATGCTGGTAATGTTGAATGAGAATTAACATAAGGGCATTCTTCCATAGTAATTGCATTATGAATGAATATTTGCTATTTGTTAAATAATGGCATGGAAGGACACAGAGTTAAAAAAAAAGTTAGTAGGGTAGCTTTTTCTGCTTATCGTGGCTGATTAATGTTTTTTACACCAGTTAAATTGTTTGGCATTTTACTTATTTCTTGCAATAAATTATTTAAGTTAATTAATGCTATACAGTGTAGAATTAACTCTATACTAGACTATTCTAAACTAGCCTGTTTTGTTGAGTTTTGTAAGAAGAATAGGATAGGAAGTATTGGATAACAGATGTCATGGTTGGTTTATGTTTAAACTCAAAGAAGACATAAATTCTTGGGAAACTAATGATGTATCATATAGGTCATATAATAGAAATTATTATAATTTTTGAATTACTTTACTTATTAATTATATTGAACTTTTTGCAGCTTTTGAGTGTTTGTCAAGAGCTACAAAAATGCTTCAGCTTACTTCTGGGTTTTGCATACGTTAGCTCTAAATAATTGTCATGTTTTTCAAGTTGTGCACATTTAGTCGCTTAAATACTCTAGCACATTAGCAAGCTCTAGTAAAAATGCTTATGTGTGTTTAATGACCGTGTTTATGAAGTTATTGCTTTTATGAGGTATATAGCTCATTTTTCGCTTCCCTTTAGAGGTATAATAATTAATGAAAATAGACACAGTCTTGTATATGCAAATGGCACATTACAGAGACAATTTACTTGCCATTAAGTCCAATCATTTCAAGGGTATTGCCACTTTATCTGAGAGTAAAAAAATATTTATGATTTTCCTAAATCACTTTAAGGTACTGTGGGTGAGGACAGAGAAATATTTGTTGCGGTTGTTAACATTTTTTTTTTTTAATCATACTTTGGAGTGAAAAGTGACATCAGCATTCAGTTGCTGAGGTTGTCGCCATTGTAGCTGGTGCTCACTTGTAGTTACCGCACTTGGGCTCTGGAGCAGTTGGGAGAGCCCAGAGAGGAGAGGAAATGATGATCTAAACTTTGAGGAACATGAATTGTGAAGGAAAATTATCAAGAATAATCTCACATTTTGCATGTGAACAGAGTGTGATGTAACAGCTGAAATAGAATCAAGGGAGGTTTGATGTAAGGAAAAAAAAAAGACTAACGGTCTTTGGAAGAAATAGTGGGGGAGGTCTGGAGAGTGGGAAAGAACTGAGTGATGTGTTTCACTCTAGTCTTATTTTCTATAATTCAGTATCTTAGAGACGCCTCTAACCTACTGTCCCTCTCAGTGTAAATTTTGTGAGATCCGCTCCTGGGACATTTGCCAGGGATCCAATGTTTACATGGCAGAGAAGAAGGTAGAGCACATTTTGTGGTTTAATTGCTTGTACTTCTCCTGGGCAACTGTTGAGAGAAGGTGCCCTTATGACTGCTTTGTTCTGTGGAAGCTGGTAATGTCTGGTGAGGAGGTCCATAGCGCTCAGATCTAACTGAATAATTAGGTGACTAAATAGTCTGCCCCATCCCTGGAGGTGTTCAAGGCCAGGCTGGATGAGGCTTTGAGCAACCTGGGCTAGTGGGAGGTGTCCCTGTCCATGGCAGGGGGTTGGACCTCTTTAAGGTCCTTTCCAACCCAAACCATTCTATGATTCTATGAAATAATGTAAATCAGCGAGAAGATAAATGGGATTTAGGTGGGGAGCTTGATGCTTCAGGTGGATTAAACACCTTTGCCTTCTGTTTGCCTACTGTTTTTGCGCTCAGATGTAATGCAGAGAAGGTGGGGTACATGGGTCTTACTGTGAGAGTTTGGTGTTTTATGGTACTGAGAAGCTCCTGTTTGGTCAATGTGCTTGTGATCTTGCTAGACATGCTGAAGTCCAGTTATTTTGTTTATTTTTGCTAGTTTATATATTCAACCATTTCTGTGATGCAGAGGTAAGTCTGTAAAAAAAAATAGCAATTACAAATTTTGAAATTATAAAGCTTTTAAAATAATTTTTTGTAAAAAAAAAAAAAAGTATTTCCAAATAAATGAAACCTCTTTATTTCTCACCAGTTTTGCTTCTTCTTCTTGATAAGAAAGATATGAATACAATAAATGTTTCATTGATTAAATTTTTTTTGAGAAATAATGTTCTTTCTTTGACATAAAGTTTCATTTTGAAAAAGTAATAACTCTTTAGTAATTTTTATTAGATAATTTGTACGTATTCAAATCATTCACATACCTCTGCAGTATTTGAGTTCTCTTATAATATTATAATAGTTTTTTATTAATTTCCTCAGGAGTTGAAAAACTTGGGGTTTAGAGAACATTGTAAGGAATATCCTTCCAGAAGTCTGTTGACAGTCTAAAAGCATCTTTTATGTAAGCTAGTAAAATGGTAATTCAACCTAATAACTAGCAGAACAATGGCATTTTGCTAACTTCTTAAAAAATCATAAGTGAATGAGAGACTATAATAAGGTTAAAAAATACAGGGTTATGACATTAATGTGTGCTTTGTTCATTTATTTGACAAGTGTTTTTGTTCTAATTCTGTAAGTTCCAAATATACCAGTGAAAGCATTAGTGAAATTAGATTCATTACAGTTCCCAGCTATTGGGTAGTTAAAAAGAGGAAAACGTACTTTCTGTAGGTCCAAATATGACACTGCATAGTGTGAATGGATGAGGAGCTCAGTGACAATTCCATAACAGTCCTTGAAATGATATTACCATGTCAGTTTAATTGAGTCAATATTTTTTTTTTTACATCTTTTTCTGACTTGTTTACCAGAAAATCATTACATTTAAGTGGGTGTCAAGTGTCTTCATAGTATTTATCCCTCTTTCTTATTTGTCTG